GCAGGAGAAGAAAGCAGCTGTCAAAATATTCTTGTCTATCATTTTACAGGGAGTCCTTGTTTAGTGACCACAATTGTGACCGGCAACTCAACTGTTAAGTGAAGTGGTTGCTAAATGAAACCACAACTATGCTTACGATCTTACTTCTGCTTTTCTTTGCTTTTCAGACTTGTTAAGGTGGTCAATGTGAAGATTGGTTGTAGAGTTACTTTTTCATCACCATTGTAACTGTGGTTGCTAAACAAGGCACTCACTAAATGAGGACTACCTGTATTGGCAGCTCAGCTTTCCATCATGGATCCAACCTATTGCATAATTTCAGAGGAGGCTGTGAATCAAAGTTCTGTTTTGTGGAAACAGCATGTGAAATACAATGTGAAAATATAATGATTCTTTTAGTAAAGTTAATGTAACAAAATTAGGCAGCAGCCCTAAAAGCTTCCATATTTCAAAATGGCTCCATTTATACCAAGGGACTAATAGGCTTGAGTATTTCTGGACTGCTCTGGTTCTCTTTTATATGGGAGTTGTCTGCTTTCCAATTTTGGGAAGGTCAATGATTTGAAGGGAAATGGAATACTTTAAAGGAAACCGAAATTAAGTGAAGCTGGAGGCAAGTTAAAAGCTTTCTGTTGCCATATGGGAGAAACTGAATACTTAATTCTGCTGTAGGGTATAATTTTGATGGCTGTACCTTATACAGAATTAAAGACTTCATTTATTTATTATTTTAATGAACTGGAATCCTTTTTTGAAGCATATTTTCAAACAAGAGGGCAAAAAGCCACAGTAAGAGTTCTTAGAACATGATTTTAATGGTGCTTGCATTAACCATGTAAAAGCAGGTGTTAATTATGAACAAATAGAGTACTAATAATTCTAATAACCAGTGTTGATAGTCTAATTTATACCTCATAAAATCATTCAATTAGATTATTAGATTTGTTTTCTAGTAAGATATTTCACTCTGTTAATTTTGCCAGAAAGTCACCAGGCTTAATTTTTTATTTTTACTTTTTGCTATTGCAAGATTCTTTAAATGAAGATGGATTCTAAACATTCCTTCTGTATACATTAAAATCACCAGGCACAGTCTTTCTCAACATATGTTTAAATTATTATATTGAGTTCCAGACTGGGTGTGTATTAACCCACTCATAAAACTAGTTCAGTAGATGGCAGTTCTCTTGGGGCAAAAATCATTCTCCAGGCTTTAGAGTACCAAAATGATCAAAATAATCCAATCATAATTTTAACAATGCAGAAGGTGTTCTAAATATACATTTGTGAAAAGTCATTTGCTTTCTCACGTGATTAGATTTTACATGAATATAAATATCATGCAACAATATATAGCATGAACTCTCTCTGGCCATAGTTTATATTTCAATGCAAACATTAAATGCCACTGATTTAGGCAAAGTGTCTCCACATGCATCTGTTCTCCGTTATATAACATATTAGATTATGTTACATCATGGTTTCTTATTCTGATAATCATCATTGGAAAAAAAGCAAATAAAAGCTGCAAAGATTTAGAAGGAAAATCTTGTCACAGTGCAAATCAAGAATCCTATAAGATTAGGGAAGATAGCCTGACATGTCCTTGTGTTCTAAGTGTTGGCTGGAAATATGGAAGGCTTGAAGTCACTACACCTGTCTAACAATCAGGTTTCCCAATAACATGAAGGTGAAATACACATTGGACCTTGTTTTATTTAGTTATGGTTCAGCGGGTGATGCCACTGAACTAGAAAATGGAAGAAGGGCTTCAGATGGAAGTAAACAAAATTCTAATCTCTGGGATCTAGTGATTGTTGGAATTGTTTCTTTTTTCCTCTTGTTCTTAGATGCTATACATTAATCTTCTAGAGTGATGAGTATCCCTTATATACCTGGAATAGATGCTCCCTCCCAAGCTCAGATAAGTATGCTTTGCCTTGTCTTCTTTCTGCAAAAACCAAGTTCAGGACCATTAAGGTTATTAAGGTTAGGATAGAAGACTGTGGCCCTTCAGAAATGTCTAAAGTTACTTGATTTTCAGTACTATTTCCCCTCGCATTTGGCGGAAATGATGTATCTGCTGAAGTTAGAATTGCCTAGATAGAAGGCAGAAAGCAGAAGAATTATTTGGGCAAACATGAATAGGGGTCCTGATGCAGAGATCCTGATAGGCAGCAACAGGGAAGATGCACAATTTTTGCAGATGAGAATCTTCTTGGTAAAATGAGGGCACTTGGATATCAACATTACCAAACTTGTAACTGTGTGTGTGTGTGTGTGTGTGTGTGTGTATGAGGGGGATATATGAGGTAGTGGTGGAATCTCCAATAGTTGATCACAAGGAAAATTGATAGTGCCAAGAGTATTTTTAGCATGGAAGAAAGAAAAAAAGAATATTAAAAAGGAGCTTATAGATCTTCTAAAAAGATGATTCATAAAACAATGGAATGGAAGCTGCACGTTTAGAGACAAGTCCACAATATGGCTTGGTCTTCAACACATACAGATTGTTTATTATAATCTCTTTGAACCAGCTGCTGGTTCATATCACTGTATCAAAATTGAACATAACGTAGTACAAAATAACCCAATTTTATGTTCTGGTTATATGCATAGCCGAATACCATTGTTATATTTTGTCTGGTAGCAGTTAAATCCATGAGAAGCTATAAATAAAGTAATTTTTAGAGAAGCTAGGACAGGAGGCCTATTATTGGCTTGGTAAGACAAAATAGTAGTTACATTTATTATTTTCCCCTCAGCAATTTAATGAGAAATGAATTGCAGCATTCTCTGGCTTGATAGGAATCTCAGAGATCCTGCCATGGCTTTGTATTTGGACTTGTTCTAGTTTTGCACAGTTGTACAGAGGAATAATAGGTTATAAGGCTTGCTTAGTTAAATCCCGTGTCATTTTGCCCTATTGTCCCATTTCCCAAAGCTTATGTTTACTGTTTTCTAATGAAGCCAACTATTCAACATGACAATGACTAGGAAATTAGGCTGCAACTTTTCAGTTCTTCCAAAGGCACAGTTCCATTCTGCTTCTTTGGCACTGCTCTCTCATGGGCTAGAAAGACTTGATCTTTCCTTTACATTGCTGCTGATAAATTGGTATAATTATAGGAATGTTGTAGTTGTTCCTGCAAGTTTTCCACCTGAAATTACATAAATCCATGGTGGTTTGTATCATGCCCTTGAAATCTTGCCCCCTTTCCAAGCTTAAAATGCTCTGTCTAGACAAGCAGGATATCAGATGATAGAAAATCACAAACAGGACAATGATTCTAGTTTGCAATTACAGACAAAATCAAGATGGACCAGGGCAAGGCCTTAAGAATTTATTTTATAGGTGTTCTTAAAACTAAGGAGGTTACCTGTTACACTTTATTTCTATACAGCATATATGAAATGACTCTCTCCTTTATAATTTTCACATATTTTGCCATGGTTTAGTTAGGAGTTTATATTTCAGGGAAAACATTTGAAACAGCTCTTCAAAAGATTGTACACCACCATGTGTTGGCAACTTTGAATGCATAGAGCTATCACATACCAATAAAAACTATGTTACCATAAGACTGTGAGATCAACAGATGAATTACAAATTTTGAAGAAACAAGAAGATAAACAATCTCTGTTTTTGTACAAATCCATAATCAGATGAAATGCTCTGTTAATACTACATTTCAACCCAACAGATCTCCCAGTTTGGAGGGTTTTTTAAAGTTCTGGATCGGGGCTGTCTTATTTATGAAAGTAATCATGGCTACCACATCCACTTTAACTATCGATGGATTTAAACACAATTTAGCTGTGAGTTGCAGAGGCAAATGCTAGTCAAATGGGAGAAATCTGTGATTCAATATTCAGCAACACAGGGGGACACCAAACACACATGCACATAACATATGCAACCCCCCCTCAAAATGTTATTCCCATGTTGCTGTTTGTGCTGAAAATAAAGCTAAATATAAGTTACTTTCCAGTGTATAACAGACAGCATTTCTTTGCAACCACATGAATGTGATTTCTGGGAGCTTTATTAAGCAGAGCCCTTACCTTTAATCAATAAGATGAAAGTGGCCATTACATTGTAGCTTCAAACTGGCTTTTGATGTTTCTTTAACAGCTCTGAAGCCAAATCTAAATATTATGGCTAGTGAAATTCATATTTCACTTGTACTTTGCACTTAAAATCACTTGTCTTTGGGAGCAAACCCCATTAATTTTACAGAACTTCAAGCATGAGCTCAGGAAAAACATCCCGTGATTCAATTTTCTGAAGCACCTTGCAAGCATGATAGGTTACAATGCTTGGGGTGGGAAGGTGATATCAACGTATAAGAGAGCTTTGCGATGCGCCAAGATTTGACCCAGTTCCCATTGCTGATGTAGTATAACTTTTATCATAGCTGCCACTCATTTCTGTTGCGGCTCTTCTAAAGATAAAGTCGTTTCATGGCTTTACTTGAAAGAGGGTTAGGGCTGGGGAAGAGACAGTCATATGATAGTTTATATTCCTTTGCTAGGGAGGTCTGTACAAACCTCCAATGTCCGTTACTGGCTATAAGATCAAGTAGAGGCCAAATGGCAATTAGGGCAGAGCCCAATGGCTTCATTGTATTTCATATTAAATGTAACAGCACGCATCATGGTTTGGGTTGCTGTAGATAAAGCATTTAAAAAAAAAATCAAAGCTACCATATGAATTTCTTCAGTAGGGCTCTGCAGTAGATGATAGACAATAGAAATCTGATTCCTTAAGAGTCAAAGCCCAAGTTGCCCATTAAAATACTAGAAATCTTTGCGGGCAAGATAAGGCTCTGTCTGGGAAGCACCTTTTCTGCAGGTCAATGAATTTAGACTGCTCTCCCTTGGAGGAGTTAAACAATGGGCAAAATGCAATATTAAGATATCACATTTGGCATTATTTTGAAGGATTCATTTTCAAGCCTTTTTGTGTGACTTTTTTTTTTTTTTAAAGCAACCTCAGACTTCATTGTGCCAGAAGCAAAAGGCATAAATAAGACAGATTGTAATAGAACAAACAATGATCTATGGGCAGATGCCATTTTGTACTTATTTAGAAAAAGTATTAGAAATTTACACCAAAGAAGTAGCATCTTCTCAACAGTGTATAAAAATACACACTTTTCTTTCTTTTTTTAATTTGTAGAAGCCATGGTAATTTAGTATTAACAGTAAGTATCAAGAGAGACTAAAGTCGATGTGGCCCTTAGTTTTTGCAGAATTTAAAAGACCTATGTAGCAGTTGATTTCCTTGTATTTAATGAGAAAAAGTGAGCACTTGTTATAAATGCATTGGTTGTTGCCCCAGCTCTTCTTACATGCCCATTATGTTTGGTCCTTATGTGGACATCAAACATAATAAAATGTCTGCAGTAGCACATTTATTTTCCCACAATGAATGGCAATTGAGTACAATGAGATGCTGCTATGGAGATAGAACAATGCAGGAACGCTTACAGAATGATTCTAATCACACCCTTCTGGTTCACGAGTGTAAGTATCTCTTGTGATGTTAACTAGGAGTGATATTAACCATGGATACAACTGCCTAAGGATATTTTTCTTCTAAAATAGAGCAAATAAATATTAACAATTTAAAATAAAAGAAAGACAGCTTATTACTTTTGATGGTTAGTGCCTCTGACAGTTTCAGTGCTTCCCAATGAGGAATCATTTAGAGTAAATGAAAAAAAAGCATTTTCAGCAGTCCAGTGGTATGCTATTCAGGAAGCAGAGACAGCTTGCATAGCATTAGCGCAAACTTGATTAAAACAAATTCAAGACTTGCAAGTCTGCAAAAAGACTGAAAAAAAGCAAAGAAATGTCTTTGCAAAGCATTACTTCCTCACATGTTTTGAAAGGTGGTTCCTCTTGCTAAAAGCCAACGGTGAGCATCATGTGTAAGCATGCAAGTCAACTATTTTTTTTTTTTTAGTCAACATCATTTTCATTAGTTTAAACTGAATGAGATTGATTAATGGGTTGAAAGGTCAACTGAGATCTTGTCCTCTACACTCTTAGTCGGTGGGGAGAACTTCAACTGAGTTCTATTGGCATTTGACTTGCTTTTGCTAAACAACATCTGGCAAAGTGAGAAGAAGATAAAATGGAATAATTCTGCCAAGCCAGAATGCTAAGGCAATTTGATCTTTTCCAACAGGTTCTGCATAGCAAGACAAAAGGATCACTTGCCTTAGCTGCTGAAACAGAAAGCAGAGTAGTAGCTGATAGCAAATGGCACAATGGAAAAGGACCCGCCAATTGAAAACTTCAGAATCTATAGTGTAAAAGGAGCCTAGTTTGGGGCTAGCTCCCCTACTGTGGTCTCTGTTCCATTCACAATGATATGCTGCACGAACGGATTTAATTCTGAAAATGTGAAAAACAAATGAGAACAATGCTTACAGTTATTATGAACAGCAGCTATTTGAGAGTGAAAGCGGTTTTCCAAATTAATACAGACCATACAAAATTAAATCAAGTGGAGAGAGAGTTGTCCTTACTGGCAGTATGATGGTCCCAGGAGCCCAAATGCACATGTGTCTATAAAGTTACCCCAGGTGTACAAGGAGCACCCACATGCAAAAGGTCTTCCCAGTTCACTTTAGTGACAGATTCAGCTATGCACGCTGACCTCCATTGTACCTGTGGAGTTATGCCTACCAGTAAAGTGAAAGGAAAGCCCAATGGTGAAGGAGATCAGTGTGCATACTAGGAGGCCCATGCAGCTATTGACTGAGCTCCGTGTGTGATGCCTGATGTTTCCATTATCTCTGCAGAGATACAAAATGATTTGTGATATTGTGCAAAACATGAGTCCTCAGAGTTATGGGAACTACCATATATACCCAATTTCATCATCCTTATCATCATCTTCATCTTCATCATCCTCATTAGCTGCTCTTACATGAATCTTCTGTTTGTCCTTTTTTGCTGCTTCATGTGCTTCTTCCAGGTCATCCAACAATAACACTGATCCACCACTACCAAAATCCCCTGAGGTTTCTTGCTCTTCTTCTGCAAAAGGGAAGAATTCAAAGCTATAAGTCCAGTTTTCTGTCTTGGTATGTCAATTGTCTCATCCATTAAGCTAAATTAATTCTTTTTGTCAGTATTGTTTTTAAACAGTTTCCCCCACAATGGAACACATCACAATGGGAACTCAAAACAGCATACAGTCCTGGCAGAACCCCCAAACCATGCGTTTTCAGGAGGAAGCAACAGCTGAAGACAGAACCTTACATTTCTAAATAGTTGGCTCAAATCCATTCCAGGCCAATGGTGACTGAAAGACACCACCATCTGATGAGTATTCGAAGGTATCTGAAATGAGTTGGTGGTCTCAGTAAATTGCAAACCTCAAAATACCTCCCCACAAGCATCATTAAACACTACCGTTGATCCTGATCTGATATCTCATAAAAGAATGGAATATAAATGGAACCAGAAATATTCCAGTTGTGATCCAATCTACCAAGTCAAATAAGAGCAAAGAGCAAGAAATGTTGAGTGCATTAAAATAACTATGGTGGTTTGTTTATTGCTTTGGATGTTGGCTGCATGGGGTATACAGACTTGACTTTCAAACAGTGTGTGCTTTGAGAGCTGAGTTGATGCCCCCCTCCCCCAAGATCAATAATGGCAGACTCACTTTCCTGACAGTCAGCCTATCTACTAATCCTAGCTGGCTGCACTTTTCTTGATTGAAAGTGTGCTTTAATAAAGAACCCAGAAGTCTCTGCAACATAAAATGTTCCCATAGCAAATACGCAGGAATGTCTGTCTTTGTAGCTAGAAAGAATGGAAAAGGTTCCTAGAAGAAGTCTAAACACTACCACTTTTCTTATCTTTAGTTGTCTTACAATGAAATAAATTCCAACTCTATTACTTTTCATGCTTTGATTCTGAAGAAATTCCAAACTCAGACCTTCCATTTATAGGAACTGAATGCCTTTGAATAAGACTGGCTTACAAAGGTTTCAGTACTGCATTTCTCTAAAGCCAAAAAATGTGTCCCTTTAAACTCATTTGCTCACTAAAAGGACTGAACTGAGTATGCAGTTGTAGAAACTGACTTTGGCCTGCATTCCATCTGTCCTCCAGCTGGTGCTCCTAGAGGAGTTCCTGCAGGATGGGGGCCTTTTGGGGTTGCTTGCATCCCACTTGACAGGGAAAGGTTGAGCCATGGCAGCGAAGAGGACATAGCCAGCAGTGGTGGGGAGTGGGATTGGATTCTGCTCAAGGTCCAGTGAGCTTTTGGCTGGGCTGGCTGGTTTGAGATGTCACATCTGCAACATGCAGAGTGCATGTGGCTGCGGATATATGTGGTTGGCAGAATTAGCAGCAACTGTTCGTATTAAATTTCTGTGACAACAATGCTTGTGTGATGCTTCAGTTGCAATTCCAAAATTTGAGCAGCATGATGCCTGGAAAAGATGTGGCTTCTTCAAAGCATCTTTTCTGAATTATTTCTGAAGCATTACATAACTAACTCTGATAGGTCCCTTATATCTGTGTGTGTGTGTGTATGTGTGTGTGTGTGTGTTTTCTGGTATGGAGAGCATTATATTATTTTAAAACTCAAACAAAACATCTCTACACACAATAATCACTCCATCAGTATATTTTACGTAAGTACAAACCACGGTTGTCTTTCAAGCTGACAGGGAAAGCAGATTAGATACTTTTACCAATTTCATACTGTCTTTCATGCTTAGGAAGAAAGGTTTCTTACATGAGCACATCTGTGTTTCAAACACAAAGACTTGAAGATAGTGGTCCGTACATTTCTTCTACGTCATGTTGCACTTTCCTAAGGATTGCAGGGATGGGCAATGGCTTACATACAGTTAACTCCTATTTTCTTGGAGAAAGTCTGATGTTACTCACCACAGGTAACTGTCCCCTGCTTCCTAGAGCCAGCAATCTCATTTCCATACTTATCAACACACCAACACTGGCCAGTACTTCCGTGACACTGAGTTGCTTTGTAATAGCCTTCTTCATTGCAGCGGGGGATGAAGGCACCTAGAAGCAGCAAATGGAGACTGGGTCAGTAATAAAAACCTTTGTAATTATACATTGCAGCAGGCAGATAACGTGGGATGAGCCTGGCCCTGATTTTCCAGCATGTCCTTTTGGACTCTTTACACAGCTAGGTCAAAATGATCATGCCTCCTGCTTCTTCCTAAATCAATACTTCTTAGGTAAATAAGATACTTTGACACAAGGCACATTTTCAGTCTGAATAGAGGCTAGAGCTTCCCTGGGATTATTTTAGTTTATGAAGGAGTAAAGTTTGCCACCTTAACTACCCAGCCCAACTGTTGGCAGTTCTGTCTGTTTGTATAAGAACAATCCACTGAATACTGCAGATGTACAGCTCTCATTCATTTTGCTGGACATGTACCTAGCAGTAAATATTATTTGATGGAGTCTGTGCCATGGAGAGGTCTGTAGTGCTAGTTACCCAAAAGCAATCACTAAAATGAACCAGTATATACACACTACATTCCAAGATATGGTATTTCATTACCAAACAGCAGAAGTCAATGCAATCTTTTCCAACCAGCGTACATACGTGCATGCAGTACATGCTACTATGGAAAGCATCAGAAAATTATTATGTCTCTATCTCATTTTTAATTTACCATTTGTATTGTTAATAATATAAAGATAAATTACCCTGGAAGATATTACTTATTTGGAAGGAAGGCAATACCTCTGCCCTGGAACTACTGCTGGAACTATTTATAAGACAGTTTAGGATGTACAAGCTCTGTCTACCGTATGCATCACACTAAAACTTCCCTGCGTTGAATGGCATAGGGATGATCTCTCATCTCTACAAACTCCTGCTTCATTCTCCAGCCTCTCCACTGAAGGTCAGCTTCATGAAAACCATTTCTGCTTGGCCTTTGGCAAACAGCATTTGTGCTTGTGGTGCCTGGGCAAATCCTGGCTCCAGTATCTCTCCAGGCCACTGGATCTCCATATAGTACCAAATCCACTCACCTCATGGATGGAATTTAGGAAACCCTTTACTGGGAGATTATTCTTGGCCTGTGGTTTTTTGACTCAATCTGGTTTACTTGAGTCTTTCTTGAGATGTCCCACTTCTCCATATTTGAAACATATGGAGGCTGTGTCTGTCAGAAAGCTTGTGCCTAGTGGTATATTGGGTGATGAGTAATGTAGTATTGTTGGTGCTTGACATGGTATAATTCCTAGAGTGACTCAGGCCAGAATTCCTCTCAAGTCTTGTGAATATCTTGGGATGGTTACAGTGGTACATTTCCATTGGGGCTGGAGGTCTTGAAGCCACCAGCTTTTGGGTACCTCTCCTGGTGTATTTTATGTTTCTGAAATATGGCCGAGAGTTGGGCCATGAACTGTTCTGGTTTCATCAACTTTTTGACTTCCCTAACTGTATTGGCTCCTGCCTATTCACTTCAGGTACTCGTTGTGTCCATTCTGTGGGCAAAGGCCTGAAAGGAATCAGACATCTTTCACTGTAGAAACTTGAAATTCCTTCTAACACTTTCAGGCATCAGTTCTTGCATGGACTTCACCATGTTTCTAAATAGTGCATAGCTATCAATTTCACCTCAAGCCATTTCATAGGCCTTAACAAGGGAATCAATTATCTTATCAAACACATATACTGACTTTCCTCCACCGTGGCAAGCCCTTTTTCCGTTGTCCAGTTTAGTGATTAAGATCCACCCCTTTCTTATATTCTGGAAACTTATACTTTTCCACAGGACATCTGGGAGTGGATTGGTTACAGTAGAAATATTCCATTCTTCAGCCTCTCACTTTCTAGTTGTCTCTCAACTTATTTTCCTCTTATTCCAACACTACTTTCTTTAATCTTTCTACTTGCTCTATTTCCAGTGTTGAAAGTTTTCCTCCCTCTGGAACACCATTCTTTTTAATTGGAGTTGGTTTTACAATTTCTGTAGCTCAAGTGAGTCAATAGGTCCCGTCACAGTGCTTGGTTCATTGTGCCCCATGGGTGTAGTTGAGCTACCTGCCCTGTCCTCAGGCACGACACTTTTGGAATTTGGGACTTCAAGATGTCTTTGGCTCATTTCTCCATAACATATGAGAGAGCTCTGTCCCCTGACAGTTATCTAGCTATCTTGTCAAGCCTGGAAACTCAAATAAAAATAACTTTTGTGTGCGTAAGTCACTTTATGTCTCTGCAGAAACAAATTATGAAAAAGAAAAAAAGGAAGAAAATATTTTCCTCCATCTACCTGCCCAGTTAGACTCCTTCCTGTGTGTCAGGCAACCATCCCCCCGCAAAATCTTGAAAGACATAAGGGGGAAAAAAGGGAAGAATTGTTTTGGACATGATTCTTGGTGTCCATTGTTTTCACTCCCTGTAGCAGGAAGGTGGAAAAACTCTTCCCAGATGTCCTTTGGGTCTAGATACTCTAGCTCCATTTCCTGCCTTGATGTAGCACTTGGTGGTTCTTGCTGTCCCCACCCAACTATCAGGAAACACCTGATATGTATCTTCCCCCTAAACCTGGTGGATGAAAGAGACAATGCTCCCATACTCTGTGTTACCTTTTGGCAATTGAAAAGAAGGAGGAGGAGGAGAGAGGGAGAGAGGGAGCGAGAGGGAGAGGGGGAGAGGGGGAGAGAGAGAGAGAGAGAGAGAGAGAGAGAGAGAGAGAGAGAGAGAGAGAGAGA